AGCAAAGCTTTTATATACTGTTGAAATGAAGTTGGTGTAAGTCAAGACGAAGAGTGTTTTAGTTAAGATGCTAATTGTAACCCCCAGGGTAACCATAAAGAAAACAATTAAAATATATAAGAAAAGATGAACAATGGAATTGAAATGGCGGTGTAGACAATATGTATTAACACAGAAGAAGTAAATGATGAAAGTATTGAGGAACAAGAAAAAACAAGTTCAAGATGGCACCCCACAAAACCAAACGCATTGACGTCTAGTCGACTCCGACTCATGGCGACTGTGCCCCGTAGGGTTTTCAGGGCTGTAACCTTTATGACAGCAGGTGGCCAGGGCTTTCTTCCACAGCACAGCTGGGTGGGTTTGAACCACCAACCTTCAGATGAGTAGTGGAACATAGACCATTTGCAACACCCAGGGATCTTAGGATAATGACAGCCTTATGCCACGTCAAGGGCCCTTCTGAGTGCGGTCCCTGTGTTCTTATTCTCCAGCCTTCTCTTTGCAAGACGGTCCCTCACGAGACGGTCTTTGAGCAGGGAGAGAAGGAACCTGGGGTAATGGGGAGGAATCAGAAGCTATGGTCTTGAGGAGCAGTAAACACTCACCAGCTGCTGGTCCGGGCTCAGGAGGGTCCGGAGGCGAGGCTGCAGGGGGCGAGATGCCAGCTGTCCACGGGGTCGGGGGGCTGGTGGGCGGCACAGCCCTGGAGGCTGAACTGTTGTGGCCCATTGTGGGGGCCGTGGAGGGCACATAGCCAAGGGGCATACCTGGGACAGAGGTAAGAGGAGATCACTGCCCACCCGCGTGCTGCTGCCTCAGGCCCCACCTCCTCCGGCCCAGAGCCTGACACGCGCCCTCAGCCCCATCCTTCCCCTCAATCTCTCAGTCCCGCCAGCGGCACACACCCAGGGGTCCCCAGATACAGCCCGCGTCCCCGAGCTGGGGAGAGGGCGGGAATGGCAAGGAAAGAGGACAGTTGGTTGAGGGAGACAAAGAGCAGAGGTGACATTTTTCAGAGGAGAAAGTGGGGTATAGGATGCTGGGACAAAGAGAAGGTTGATGTGGGGCAGGTGTACTGGGTGGAATAGTTTTAAAAAAGAAAACCAAAAAAACCCACCACTGCCATGGAGTCCATTCTGACCCA